GCGGCTTGGCAGCGGGCGGCGGCGGCGGCGGCGGCGGCGGCGGCGGCGGGCGGCGGCGGCGGCGGCGGCGGAGGCGGCGGCGGTGGCGGCGGCGGATTGGCCCCCAGTAGCTACCCATCCAAAGACGACGGCTGAATATGCTGAGGCTCGGACCAGACTCGGGTGCCACGTATGTGTTGGGAGGGCGGGTGGGGGTGAGCGAGACGGCTTGCGGGCGGGGAGGGGGTCTTGACCCCTGCCCCTACCCCCTCCCCTGGACATGGACGGGGGGGGTCTTTGGTAGTTGGAGCGTTCAGGATGGCTCAAAGAGCGCCTCGGAGAACCCAAGATGAGCTGCAAGACGACTCGAGAGAGTCCAAGATGCCTCAAGATGGCTCCCAAAATGCTCCAAGAGGCCCCAAGACCGCTCCAAGATGACTCCAAGAGGCTTCCGAGACCGTCAAGGAGGCCTCCAAGAAGCCAAACTCCGTCAACAACCTAAGGAAAGCCACCGATGTTTGCATCGTCGCCCGTTCGCTTTTGATAGCCTTCCGAGGCATCAAGATGGCTTCCAGGTAGCACAAAAGGGCCTCAAAGGAGGCCCAAGAGAGCCCCAAGACGGCCCCAATAGCGCCCAAAAACGCCCCACAAACGCCCCAAGAACGCCCCATGAGACAATTTGTGGGGCTCCCGGCGAGCAGCCCCAATTGGGGAACCCCTCTTGTTTGATAGATGTCCTCCAAGATGGCTCCAAGAGCGCCCCGAAGGCTCCCAAGAGCGTCCCAAGAGGGTCCCAAGAGGCGGCCAGGTGGCCCCAAGAGACGCCCAAGAGGCCTCCAAGAGGCCTCAAAGAAGCTGCAAGAGGATCCCCGATGCATCCAAGATGCCCCCCAAACGCTCCAAGAGGCCTCAAAAAACAAGAGACATCCGAAGAGGCTCATCTGATGGTAATGTATTCCTCCTTCTCCTCATTCTCCTCCTCCTGCTCTTCCTCCTCCTCTTCCTCCGCCTCCTCGTCCTCCTCCTCCTTTGCACTTCCAAGGGAAACCAGAGGAGACTCCGAGAGCCACTTAGAAGGCTTATGACTCTTCTGTTCGCCTTCGTTCTTCCTCCTGCTCCTCCTCCTCCTCCTCTCTCCTCCCCCTTCGTCGTCATCGGCGTCGTTTTCGTGGTCCTCGTCTTCGTCGTCGACGTCGGCGGGTGCGTCGCCATTGTCGTGGTCATCGCCGTCGTCGTCGTCGTCGTTGTTGTTTTCGCTTTCTTCCTCTCTCATCCCGCCCACCGCCTTTTCGTCCTTTTCCTCCTTCGCCCCGTCCTCCTCCCTTTCCTCCCACAAGGAGGAAGTAAGAGGAAACAACTAGGAATTAAGAGGAACAAAAAGAAATAGGCAAAAACACCAAGAGGTACGCGCGAAAACCAAGACAGTCGGCATGCTTCGCAAAAGCTGTTGTTTTGGGATGGGTTGATGGGGATACTTTTGGTTAGCGGGCGCGCGAAGCCAGTCGAACGCCGAGAGCGTCACGGCGGGCCGCGCCGGTAGCGAAGGGAAAAGCAGCGCAAGCAACGGCACGCAAACCGCAGTACCGACCAGGCGAGCAGGCAGAAGAGCGTGCCGACACATCAACGCCACGAAGCCGCGGCCAGCGTGGCGACCTGGAAGTACAGTGAATACACGCAGAGGACGCAGGAGACGAGAACGGAGCGGTGGCGTGCAGCACCGCGTGCCAGTGGCAGACGCAGCCAAAATGGCGCGAGAAGGCAGCCAGGTGGCAGAAGAGGAAGACCATGAAACAGCACACCGAGAAATAGGCAGACGACTCAAGTCACGGACCAGCAGGATCCGGCGACCGTGCCGAACGGCAATGCCACCCAGAAGCCGAGACCGAGCATCCCAAACCAACATTGCCGTACAGGTAGAACGTCAGATGGCCTTAATACGACACCGAGAGCCCCGCGATCGCGAACCAGAAGAGCATGTCGGCACGAGCTGACCGCGCAAATGATGACGCTCACAGGTGAGCCCAGCGAGTACCCGAACCCAAGGAGGAACCTTGTCGTACAGGTAGATTTTCCAAGGCCGTAGGTTGACAACTTGCGATTCACGTGCGTGGGCCCGAAGGCAAAAAGGGGAACGGACCGCGCGACCGAAGCCGACCACAGGTGAGAGCCCAGTGAGTACCCGAAGCCAAGGAGAGACCTTGTCGAACAGGTAGTACTTCAAAAGGCCGTCGGCTGACACCTTGCGCTTCAAATGCGCGAACCCAAAAGCAATGTGTTGTTTGTTGCTTTTTAGTCCCAACCCTCCTATGGTTGGGTACTCGTTTTGAATAGAGCAGTGTGGTCGCCCCGGGCCTCCTTCTTCTCCTCCCCCCTCCTCCCCTCCTCCTCTCCTGTCTCCTGTGTTCCCCTCTCCTCTTCTCTCGTGCCGTCGGGCTGCGATCAGCGCAACTGTCGCCACTTTCGTGGGCTCCTGGGAGGCCCAGCGGAGGTACGTCCAACGCGGACCACCTCGAGACCTCGCCGCCCCCTGGGGGGCTGCGATCTGCGAAACTGTCGCCACTTTCGTGGGCTCCTGGGAGGCCCAACAGAGGTACATCAAAAGCGGACCACCTCGAGACCTCGCGGCGCCCTGGGGGCTGCGATCTGCGCAACTGTCGCCACTTTCTCTGGCTCCTGGGAGGCCCAGCGGAGGTGCGTCCAACACGGACCACCTCGAGACCTCGCGGCGTCCTGGGGGGCTGCGATCTGCGCAACGGTCGCCACTTTCGTGGGCTCCTGGGAGGCCCAGCGGAGGTACGTCCCACGCGGACCACCTCGAGACCTCGCGGCGCCCTGGGGGGCTGCGATCTGCGCAACTGTCGCCACTTTCGTGGGCTCCTGGGAGGCCCAGCGGAGGTACGTCCAACGCGGACCACCTCGAGACCTCGCGGCGTCCTGGGGGGCAGCGATCTGCGCAACCGTCGCCACTTTCGTGGGCTCCTGGGAGGCCCAGCGGAGGTACGTCCCACGCGGACACCTCGAGACCTCGCCGTCCCTGGGGGCTGCGATCTGCGCAACTGCGCCACTTTCGTGGGCTCCTGGGAGGCCCAGCGGAGGTGCGTCCAACGCGGACCACCTCGAGAACTCGCGGCGCCCTGGGGGCTGCGATCTGCGCAACTGTCGCCACTTTCTCTGGCTCCTGGGAGGCCCAGCGGAGGTGCGTCCAACACGGACCACCTCGAGACCTCGCGGCGCCCTGGGGGGCTGCGATCTGCGAAACTGTCGCCACTTGCGTGGGTTCCTGGGAGGCCCAGCGGAGGTACGTCCAACACGGACCACCTCGAGACCTCGCGGCGCCCTGCGGGGCTGCGATCTGCGCAACTGTCGCCACTTTCGCGGGCTCCTGGGAGGCCCAGCGGAGGTACGTCCAACGCGGACCACCTCGAGACCTCGCGGCGCTCCTCAACTGTCGCCACTTTCGTGGGCTCCTGGGAGGCCCAGCGGAGGACCGTCCAACGCGGACCACCTCGAGACCTCGCGGCGCCCTGGGGGGCTGCGATCTGCGAAACTGTCGCCACTTTCGTGGGCTCCTGGGAGGCCCAGCTGAGGTACGTCCCACGCGGACCACCTCGAGACCTCGCCGCGCCCTGGGGATCTGCGCAACTGTCGCCACCTTCGTGGGCTCCTGGGAGGCCCAGCGGAGGTGCGTCCCACGCGGACCACCTCGAGACCTCGCGGCGCCCTGCGGGGCTGCGATCTGCGCAACTGTCGCCACTTTCTCTGGCTCCTGGGAGGCCCAGCGGAGGTGCGTCCCACGCGGACCACCGCGAGACCTCGCGGCAACCTGGGGGGCAGCGATCTGCGCAACTGTCGCCACTTTCGCGGGCTCCTGGGAGGCCCAGCAGAGGTACGTCCCGCGCGGACCACCTCGAGACATCGCGGTGCCCTGCGGGGCTGCGATCTGCGCAACTGTCGCAACTTTCGCGGGCTCCTAAGAGGCCCAGCAGAAGTGCGTCCCACGCGGACCACCTCGAGACCTCGCGGCGCCCTGGGGGGCTACGATCTGCGCAACTGTCGCCACTTTCGTGGGCTCCTGGGAGGCCCAGCAGAGGTACGTCCAACGCGGACCACCTCGAGACCTCGCGGCGCCCTGGGGGGGCTGCGATCTGCGCAACCGTCGCCACTTTCGCGGGCTCCTGGGAGGTCCAGCAGAGGTACGTCTCACGCTGACCACCTCGAGACCTCGCGGCGCCCTGGGGGGGCTGCGATCTGCGCAACCGTCGCCACTTTCGCGGGCTCCTGGGAGGCCCAGCGGAGGTGCGTCCAACACGGACCACCTCGAGACCTCGCGGCGCCCTGGGGGGGCTGCGATCTGCGCAACTGTCGCCACTTTCGTGGGCTCCTGGGAGGCCCAGCGGAGGTACGTCCCACGCGGACCACCTCGAGACCTCGCGGCGCCCTGGGGAGCTGCGATCTGCGCAACTGTTGCCACTTTCGTGTGCTCCTGGGAGGCCCGGCAGAGGTACGTCTTACGCGTTGCCGCTGCTCTTCTTGCTGCATGGGTGCTCTTCTTCCGCACTGCAGTTTTTTTTTCAGCATGCCCGCAAGCATTGAATGGTCCCGAATGTATCCACCACGTGTATAGAAAGGGTTGGGTACGTCGCAGGGTAATTATTTGTTTCCCCTCCCCCCTCGGCATGGATCATAAATCGTCGTCGTCGGAAGGGGGCCCCACCTCCTCCCAGGATGCCGACGCAGCCTTCCCGGGCCGACCTCCTCCCACCATGCCGCCACTGCCTTCCCTCCTCACTCCTCTATCCGCCCCGGCTGCGCTCTCTGCCACTGCCCGCGCTTCTCGCGCGCGATCGTCGCAGCGTCCTGCTGTCACTGCCTCTGCCCGCCATTCTCGCGCGCGCTGTTCGGGGTTCATCTCTCGCTGAGACGCGAATGGCCCGGCCGCCACTGCCCGCAATTCTGTCACGCGCTGATCGGGGCGCTGTAAGTCCGGACAACGGGCCCTAGCTTCCCCGCCCACATTTCGCTGAGCAGCGAGTTGGCCGGCTGCCGCTGCTCGCCCTTCTCGCGCGCGCTGCTCCAGGCAAAGCTCATGGCGCTGGTGGGCAGCAGCGTCGCCGCCCACATCTCGCGGCGCAGCAACTGGGCATGCTGCCCCGCTCGCACTTCTCGCGCTCGCCGCTCGAGCCACACGAGGATGGCGGGCTCCAGCTTCGCCACCCACATCTGGCTGAGCAGCGACTGCGCCGGCCGCCACTGCTCGCACTTCGCTCGCGCGCAATGGTCGGGGCGCTGTAGTTCCCGATGATGGCAGGCTCCACCATCGCCACCCGCACCATCTCTCGCTGCGAGGCGACTCGAGCGGCTGCCACTGCTCGCACTTCTCGCGCAAGCTGGTTGGGGCGATGTGGCTCCTGAGGGCATTGGGCTCCAGCATCGTCGCCTCCACCTCGCTGAGCAGCGATTGGACCGGCTGCCACTGCCCGCACTTCTCGCACGCGCTGCTCGGGAGCTCGTAGCTCCCATTGATGGTGGGCTCCACCATCGCCACCCACATCTCGCTGAGCAGCAATTCGGCTGACCGCCACTGCTCGCACTTCTCGCACGCGCAGCTCGGGGCACTGTAGCTCTGGACAGTGGGCTCCAGCATCGCCGCCCGCATCTCGCTGACCAACGAGTGGGCCGGCTGCCACTGCTCGCAACTATCGCGCGTGAGGCTGGGCTCTAGCTTCGTTGCCAACATCTAGCTGAGCAGCGACAAGGCCGGCTGCCACTGCTCGCACTTCTCGCGCGTGAGGCTGGGCACCAGCGACGTTGCCAACATTTCGCTGGGCAGCGACTGGGCCGACTGCCGCTGCTCGCACCTCTCGGGCGCGAGGCTGGGCTCCAACATCGCCACATCTCGCTGAGCAGCGACTGGACCGCTTGCCACTGCTCACACTTTTCGCGCGTGAGGCTGGACTCCAGCGTCGCCACCCACATCTCGCTGAGCAGGGACTGGGGCTGGGCTCCAGCGGCGCCACCCACATCTCGCTGAGCAGCGACTGAGCCTGCTGCCACTGCTCGCCCTTCTCGCGCGCGAGGCTGAGCTCCAGCATCGCCGCCCACATCTCGCTGAGCACCAAGCCGCCACTGCTCACACTTTTCGCGCGTGGGGCTTGGCCTCAGCGTCTCCACCCGCATCTCGCTGAGCAGCGATTGGGCCGGCAGCCACTGCTCGCCCTTCGCGCGCGCGAGGGTGGGCTGCGGCATCGCCGCCCAAATCTCGCTGAGCAGCGACTGGGCCGTCTGCCACTGCTCGCCCTTCTCGCGAGTGAGGCGGGGCTCCAGCATCGCCGCCCACCTTGCTGAGCAACGACTGGGCCGACTGCCGCTGCTCGCACTTCTCGCGCGCGAGGCCGGGCACCAGCATCCCCGGCCACATCTCGCTGCGCAGCAACTGGGCCTCCCGCCACTGCTCGCACTACTCGCGCGGGAGGCTGGGCTCCAGCATTGCCAAGCATATCTTGCTGTGTAACGACTGGGCCGAGCGCTGCTGCCCGCGCATCTCGCGCGTGAGGCTGGGCTGCAGCATCGCCACCCACATCTCGCTGCGCAGCAACTGGGCAGCCTGCCACTGCTCGCACTTCTCGCGCGGGAGGCTGAGCTCCAGCAGCGCCACCCACATCTCGCTGAGCAGCGACTGGGCCCGCTGCCACTGCTCGCACTTCTCGCGCGCGAAGCTGGGCTCCAGCGCCGTCACCAAAATCTCGCTACGCAGGGACTGGGCCGGCTGCCACTGCTCGCGCGTCTCGCACGCGAGGCCGGGCACCTGCATCGCCGCCCGCATCTCGCCGAGCAGTGGCGGGCTGCCACTGCTCGCCCTTCTCGCGCGCGAGGCTGGGCTCCAGCATCGCCACCCACATCTCGCTGAGCAGCGACTTGGCCAGCCCCCACTGCTCGCCGGCCTCCCGGGAGCGTCTCGGGGCGATGGGCGGGACTCGTCGGTTCGTGGTCCCCCTCTTGGGCCCGTCTTGGGGCCCTCTTGGGCCGTCTTGGGCGCCTCTTGGGCCATCTGGAGGCCCCGTTTATGGGGGGCCTCTTGGGAGCCTCTTGGGCCGTTTGGGGGCGGTCTTGGGGGCCTCTTGGGCCGTCGTCAACGCCGTGAAAGGCGAAAAGCCGTAGATGCTACAAATATACGTTTGCCTTTGTGGAAAATCGATGATGTTGGCCTCTTGGGGCCCTCTTGGGACGCCCCTTGGGGGCCTCTTGGGGGCCTCTTGGGCCGTCTTGGGCGGTCTTGGGCTCTCTTGGAGCGCTCTCCGGCCGTCTGGGGGGAGAATCAGAAAAAAAAACATGCAAAAACCTGGAGGCAAACCCCCCAAATAGGGCCATTCGACGCCGCCTGCCCGCCTCGCCCCTCCCCTGGACCCCCCCCCAGAACAGCTTTGCCCCCTGCTCAACGTCACTCGCTCGTACCTCGCTCTTTCCGTCATACGTGCAGTTCATATGTCGTTCAAGTATAACCAAAGGGTTAATCAAACCTATGTTCAAGTGTAGTTCAAGCGTGGCTTAAGTGTAGTTCAGGTGTAGTTCCAATGTGGCGCAGGGTAGCTATGGTAGTTCAAATGTAATTCAAGTCTAGATCACATAGAATTCGAATGTAGTTCAAGTGGGTTTCAACTGTACCTCAAGTGTGATCCGAATGTCGCCCGGGTGCGGTTCAGGCGCAGCCCGTGTGGTTCGAGCGTAAACCAAATGTGGATTCATTGTGGTGCAAGTGTAATTCACGTGTAGCGTATGGGCGTTTCAGGTGCGTCCCAAGTGTCGTTCAAGTGTGGTCCAGGTAAATCCCTTGTGATTAGATTCTAGCTTAGGTGTAGTTCAAGTGTGGCGCAGGGTAGCCATGGTAGTTTGAGTGTTATCCAAGTCTAGATCACGTAGCTTTCGAATTTCATGTAGTTCAAGTGGGTTTCAACTGTACCTCAAGTGTGATCCGAATGTCGTCCGGGTGCGGTTCAGGCGCAGCCCGTGTGGTTCGAGCGTAAACCAACTGTAGATTAATTGTGGTGCAAGTGTAATTCACGTGTAGTGCAAGGGGGTTTCAGGTGCGTCCCAAGTGTCGTTCAAGTGTGGTCCAAGTAAATCCCTTGTAATCAAAATCTAGTTCAGGTGTAGTTCAAGTGTGGTGCACGCGTGGGTTAAGCATTCTTCAAACGCAATTCAACTGAAAGTGGAATTTGGGCCTGGTAAAGTTCAAGTGCCCTTCCAGAGCTGCTCGGGCGTAGTCATTGTGGTTCACGTGTAGTCCAAGCGTAGTTGAAGTATAGCTAAAGTGTATCACACATGAGAATCACTGTTGTTTCAAATGTAATGCACGTGTATTACAAATGTGGTTCAGGCGACGCCCGTGTAGTTCAAATATCGTTCAACTGTGCGTCAAATTTAGTCCAAGTTCAATTCACATATAGTTCAGCTGAAGGCCAAGTGTAATCCGAGCGCACCTCGGGTGAAGTGCAAGCGTGGTTCAGGTAAAGCAATTGCAGCCCATGTGGACTGCACGTGCAGTTCAAGGGCAATTCACGTGCAGCGCAAGTACAGTCCAACTGGCGCTCATGTATGTCTGACGCGTGGCTCGACTGTACAAGTGTGGTTCAGGCGACAACGGCGCAGTTATTAATGTAGTCCAAGCGTGGTTCAGACGTAGTTCAAATGTGACTAAAGCGAAAATGTAAGGGAAACTCGAATATGATTCTTGTATATTTCAGCTTTGGCTCAAGTGCAGTACGTGCCCAACGCTTGCATCCGAGATCTAAGTCAAGTACAACCATATGTAGTTCACAGATAGTTCAGGTGTAGTTCAAACGTGGTTCAAGTGTAGACCAGCTGTGGTACAAGTACGGTCCAGGAGCAGCCCTTGTAGTTCAAGTATGCGTGCGTGGGTCGAATGTAGATCAGGCGTGGTTCAAGTCTAGTACAAATGTAATCCATATGTGGCTCAAGTTGGCTCAAGTATAGTTCGGGTGTGGTTCAAGTGTGGATCAGGTGTAGACTTTGTACTTACAATGTAGTCAAAGGGCAATTCAAATGCGCAGTCAGTGTCGTTTAGACGTAGTTCGAGTGCAGCTCAAGTGTCGTGAACATCAGATTCGCGTGTAGTGCGTGTCTGGATGAGGCGAAGCCGTGGTCGATCAAGTGCTGTTCAATTGTACATATATGACATCATAAGGGCGAACCACACGTATCAAGTATAGTTCAAGTGCAGTTCACGTGCAGGTCAAGCGTATTTCGACTTTTGATGATGTGTAGTCCTTGTGCTCCACATGTAGTTACAGCAAGTCAGGTTTAAGCGAAATTCAGATGCACTTCGCGCGTAGCCCAACTCAAACTCAAGCGTGGCTCGCTCGTACACCATGCGTTTCACATAAAATTCAGGTGTCGTCCAAATGCAATCCAAGAGTAGTTCACACGCAGTGCACATGTAGTTCGCGTGTAGGTCGCGTGCAGTTCAGGAGTAATTCAAATGCGGCCCAGGTGTAGAACCTGTAGTGCATGTGCCACTCAAATCTAAGTCAAGCCTCGTTGAAATGTAGTTCGAGTGTAATTTAGGTGCGTTTCAAGTGTGACCCTGTTGTAGTGCAAGTGCGGCTCAGGTGTGACCATTGAAATTCAATGTAGTGCAAGTCTAGTCCAAGAGAAGTTGTAGTGTAGTTCAACGGTAGTTCAAGTCTAGTTCAAGTGTAGTTTAGGTGTAGTTCAGTTGTAGTTCACGTATAGTGCGGGTGTAGCCGTTTCAGTGCAAGTGCAGGTCCACTGCAGTTCAACTGTAGTCCATGAATAATGCAGGTGAAATTCAAGTGTGGCTCTGGCGGAGTCATTGCTGTTCAGATCTACTTCTAATGCAACTCATGTGCAGCTCAAGTCTAGCTCAGGTGTGTACGTGCTGCTCACGTGTAAGTTTGGTGGGGGTCCAAGTATAGTTGCGCTGTGCTTGACATGCGGCCTGGTTGCATTCCGCGTGGTTAACGTGTAATCCTATTGTAGTTCAAGCGTAGCGCAAGTGTACTTCAAGAGCATGTCAGACTGCAACGCGCAGCGAGACGCCACGCAGCACCGCGCGACGTACAAGGGCAAGAAACGGATTCCGACGTGGGCAACGTTGCCCTGCAGCGCCGCGCGAAACCGCGCAGCGCGGCAAAACGCGGCGCCGCGAATAATAGCGAACGCGGTGTTGGAACGTCGTTCACATGGCATGCGCGAGCGCGAAAAATTAATGACGCGCGCGCGTGTTGATCGCTATGTGTACATCAAAGGCAGCGCGACGCTGCTCAAAGGCGATGCATCGCGCTCTCGCGCGCAACCATCCAAATGTGGGCCGCCTCAAAACTGTTCGCGCACTCGTGGCAAGTTTGCCCGAGCACGCGCCCCTCGCTATCACGGCGCGACAAGTGGCACCGCGCGGCCCGAAAAATCAACAACGTCGCAGATGGCACGCGCAGCAGCCAATGCTGCTTCTAGACTTGAAGGCGCAGGCTTCCCCCGGCACTTCGTTGATGAAGCTGCAATTCTGAAATATTCCCATGACTATCCCAGAGGTTCCCATGACTATCCCAGAGGGCCCGGACTTGCTATAATAAGCGCCGGGCGCACGATAGATAGTTCAAGTCTTATTAAAAGTATTGACGGTCATTGTAAACGTTGGCGGCTGTATTAAACGTTGCATGTTGTTAGAAGACTTGTTGATGTAATAAAAATGACGAAGTGGTGCATCAGTGCCCGCGCAACTATGCATTTGTCGGCGCATACGTGTGTTCAGGCATTGTAGAACTCATAAACATAATCACGGATTGTCTCACGCCCGACATGGCCCATGCACCCCTCGCGCGCATCGCGCCGCGCAAGAATGCACGCGCGCGCGCGCGCACACACACACACACGCGCGCACACAACACACACGCACACGCACACGCACACGCACACGCACACGCACACGCACACACACACACACACACACACACTCACACGCACACTCACACACACACGCACGCCCACGCACGCCCACGAACACACGCCCGCGCGCGAGGCCTGCGGCGCCGCCACCGTGCCTGGGTTGTGGGATCGCCCGAGGGCGCGAGACGCAGGTCGGCCCCGTGGACGGCGCGGTGGACGAGGCCGCCGCGCGGCGCCGCAGGGGCAGGGCGCGAGGAGGGCAAGGAGGCGCGGAAGAGAGATGGGGGATGGGGGGGGGGGGGGAGGGGGCCGCCTCAGCAGAGCTGCCCCGAAACGGGACAGGAGGGGAAGGAGGGTAGAGGAGGAGGCAGAGGAGGAGAGGAGGAGGAGGAGGGCGCCGCCCTGCAAAAGCAAGAAGACCCTAGACAACGCACGGGAAGGGCCAGCCAGGGGCCCCCGCGGCCCCAGGACCACCGGACACAGACAGTTGTTTAGGATCGGCATCGGCCGCTCACGACTGAGCACGTACTCTCGTCGCGCGCCGCCTCCTCGGCCTCGACCGCTCACGACTCGAAGATGCGCTTCTTGCGCGGGGGCTCCTCGGGAAGATGCGGGGCGTCGACGTCGATCGAAAGTCGTCGATCGATCGTCGTCGCCCATCGTCATCGTCGATCGTCGTCGTCAGTCGCCGTCGTCGCCAATATCGTCGACCAGTGGCCCCTCGTCGTCAATCGTCAGAGTCGTCGATCGTCGTCGTCGACTGTCGTCGTCACCGATCTTCGTCGCCTTCCTCGTTTATCCAGGCCGTCTTCCGTCGTCAGTCGTCAATTCTAAGTGGGAGGTTGTCGTCGTCGCGGGTCGTCAGTCGACGCCACCCGTGCGTCGTCATGCCATCGACGGGCATCGATGCGTCATCGATGGGGTCATCGATGACGCATCGATGACATGTAGATGCCCATCGACGGCACGACGACGAACAAGCGAGGACGACGACGACTGACGACCAATAGTCTCATCATCGCCCTCCTCATCATTACACGCGCCCGCACGTCCTGCGCGGCCGCCTCGCCGACCGCGAGGGTCTTGAGGACGTTGAGGACCGGGGTCCAGGCCGCGGGAGTGATCACGGGGTCCAGGTAGTCAGCCTCGGGCGAGTTCGGGGCAGTCGCCCCGCGGAGGCACTTGAACGTGAACTTATCGTCCTGATCGCTTTCCTCATCGCCCCGGCCAGCAGCGGTGAGCATCTTCTCGGTGACGTTGTGGATCGCCTCGTCGTTCTCCATCTCGGCGATGTCGTCATCCTTCTTCTCCTTCTCGGCGATGTCGTCATCCTTCTTCTCCTTCTCGGCGATGTCGTCATCCTTCTCGGTGATGTCGTCACCCTTCTCGCCGGTGTCGTCATCCTTTACGGTGGTGTCGTCATCCTTCTTCTTGATGAGGTTGTCGATCACGCGATCAATCTCCGCTGGAGCGGGATCCATCTTCATGAGGTACCCCGCCAACTCGTCATGTGGGCTGGGCTCGTCATCTGAGCTCTCATGAGAATCGTAGCCGTAGCAGTCGCCGTTTTTGTCACCGTCCACGTGGCAGTCGCCGTTGTTGTCGTCGTCGTCGTCGTCGTAGGGTTTCTTCTCCACTGCGCCCACATCCTTGCTCGTAGCCCGTCGGAGCCCGCATTGCGCCCACATGATCGACTCCTCGTGGTGACGCCATGGCGCCGCCAGGATCTGCCTCCACATCTCTTCTTGCGTTTGTACACGGCCTGCGCGTTGAAGTGGGGGCTCGAGCACTGGTGGCGCGAATGCCATGGCGTAGATCACCAGATCACCGCGCACCCAGCCCGACGCGGTGCCCACACTCGAGCCGAATAAAGCTATGTCGTCGACATCACCATCGCCATCATCCCGACGCCGTCTCACTCTCTGTCTCTCTCTCTCTCTCTCTGTCTCTCTCTCTCTCTCTCTCTCTCCCTCTCTCTCTTTCTCTCTTTCTCTCTCTCTCTCTCTCTCTCTCTCTCTCTCTCTCTCTCTCTCTCTCTCTCTCTCTCTATCTCTCTCTCTCTCTCTCTCTCTCTCTCTCTCTGCGCGTGCGTTTCGCCTTCGAGGGCGACCGTGGACAGAGTCGACCAGCGAACCGCTATCGATCCACGGACCTGGCTGCGCTCTCAGTCGAGATCCCAAGTGCGCAGAAGGAACGCCCTCCATCCACGCAGACGCGGGGCACCCTGTCGCCACCCATCTGCGTAACTGTGGCACGGCGCACAACGCCCTCCATCCATGTAACTGTTCGGTCCCCCCCTGTACCCCCCCCTCCGTAGCCATGCCATTCAAGCTCTGCGCTCGCGCGCGCCTGAGTCTTCAGCCTCCTGCGCGGGCTCCGCGCGACGACGGCTGCCATGAGCCAGACCAACATCATCGCGCAGGCCGACTTGACGGTCGAGAAGCATAACTTCTACAACATCTTCTGCGACACATTGCAGACTTGGGCGCGCCTCCCATTCCCGACGAGCCCGCGCAAGCTCGTCGGCATGAGTCCCGAAGACATGGAGCATTTCAAAGACTCCTCGACTGCTGGCGCGGTCAAAGAGCAGCTCGGCAACTACTTGGACGAGCACCGCGACTTCGGGAAGATCAAGCTTTACAGAGCCAAGGGAGCAAAGGATCCTACAACAGGCGCGCCCGCGCGGGTGCCACAGCCAAGGGGCGACGAGATCAAGAATCACGAGTTCGCGCCGAATGACGCGCGGCTCTTCGTCGAGACTACGGAGGACCCCGTCGCCCCAGAGACGATGACGGGCGGCGAGATCAAGTGGCCCGACAGCGACGAGCCGACATCAGGCCACACGACGAGCGAGGACGGCAGCGCAAACACCGTGTGCTGCTTAATCCAGGAGATAGACGATTGGCCGACCATCAAGCTGCCGCCGAAGACGGTCGACATTTCGAGCCCTGGCGGACGCGGCGCGACCAGCCCGCCGCACAACGTGGTGGTGCTCAAGAAGTGCATCCCATCGAGTATGAAGTGGAAGCACCAGGGCAAAGTGGAGGAATCGAACATCCGCATCGACCGCGCAGACGAACACGGCCAAGCAGCGGGGCGTGCGATGAGGGGCAACATCATGATCAGCACGACGAACGTCCACGTGGCCGCGCTCTACCCTTCGACGGAGGTGGAGGTCTACAATCAGATCGGCACCAAGCAGATCATCAGCCTCGACAGTGGCGACGACGGTGAGGGCCCGCAGTAAGGAGCTCGACCAGACTGGTCGACCGGACGGGCAGCCGCGCCGCCAGTCATGGCAGCCATAAGAGTTGTTTTGTCGCTTCCCTCTGCCACGAAGCGCAAAACAAACAACCATCCTCCGTCCTCCGCCTTCTGCCGCCCCCACCTCCCCCCCCTCTGCCTCGAGGGGCCCCGCGCCAAGCCCGCGCTGTGCGAATCGGCGATGCGTCGCCGACGCATCGGCGACATCATCGATGACGAACCGATGCCACATCGCCGATGCATCGGCCCGTGTGCCAGGGGGCGGGAGAGGCCCCGTGCGCGATGACCCCCTCCCGCAGCGTCCAGCGCCAGACGGCAGGCAGATCGACAGAGGCAGGCGAAGTCGGATGTAGGCAGATTGAGGGGGGGAGGCGAGATGACGGAGAGAGGAAGGAGGGAGGGGGGGAGGGAGGGAGGGAGGGAGGAGGGAGGTGCGAGGAAGATGAGGGGCAAGGAGGTGGTAAGATGAGAAAGGGTGATCACTGCACGATGAGGGCACGATTGCATTTCAACTCACTTTTAAAAGCGTCGCCACACATGTTTGCACACATGGACACACCGCGCCACTGCGATCGAACGTGAAACGCGATGTAACACGACGCATTGATATGCACGAATTGCGCCTTGCACACGCCAGCTCGCGCAGCACGCCGCGCGATGCCAGAGTGAAAATCAGGGCGAGCAGTCGCTTAACAAATGAACTTGCCATCTTGGCCATGCACTCGCCGAATGCCTTCGGATACTTGCCTGAGTCTTTGAGCGCTGGACCGCCCACAACCCAATCTCCGTCCATCCTCCAGACGGCGTCGCGGCGGCGCTTCGATGGAAGCGTCTTCTTCGGCATCTTCCGCCGCGAAAAACGCGCCGCAATCTCGATCGGAACAGCGGCGCCCGCTACCCCCCCCCCCATGGGAGGTGGCGGGCGGGAGAGTGGGTGGGCAACTTGCACTCGCGAGCTCCTTTGCGCACGTCGCGCCGATCCACCGCCACCCCTCGCCTGTTGTAGGTGATGGCGCGAAGCGCAAGTAAAGATGTGCACCCCCTTCGGGATGGGGGGAGCGCGGTCAAACGCACCCAGCCACGTGCACAGCGTGTTGATCTGCACACGCTGCTTGAGCGAAAGGAAAGCAGGGTGGCGCTTGAAAATCGTGCAAACTGGCTGCTCGATTGAAACGTAAACACCTGACAGGTTCAAGTGAGTACACATCCAGCTGACGAGCAGTGCCATTATGTTCCCGATGCTCACGATGTGGCATGACTCATTTCCAACGGGGTCATCAGATGACCTTCCACTCTGCCATCGGCTGATCCACGCATAGCTTCGGCAGTCCACACCGAAATGCACAAGCCCCTTCTGGCGAACACGGCAGCAGAGGATGGCGCACCACAGCATCCCAGCGCATGTAGTGATATCCTGCGACACGTGGTTCACAATGTCGAAAGAGCCCACGCGGTACGACTTGCGAGCCATCGCTTTGCCTGGGGAGTCGCCCCCGCTGAAGATGTGAGCGAAGTCCAAGTCTCGAACAATCTTGCCTGGTGGAACACGTTGCAAATGCGCGTCGGCACCAGCTCCCCTGCGAGCACGCAGGATCCCGAAGCGAATCCAGCCGTTGCACAACAACTACACACAGCAGAACAGACGGCGAGCATTTGCAACCCTCCTCATGCCAGTGCGAAGAAGAGCGGGCACAGTCTCCGCCACGAATTGCACCTGGCCCCAGCGAGTCGGGTCGGCGTTGGTCATCGCCAACTGCACGACCCAGTCTGGAACAGGCCCCACAGATGCGCTGCCGCGCGCAGCCACCCGCACAAAGATCAACAGAAAGAAAGCCATCACTTGGATCGGGCAACGCCTATGTCGAGCGCGACCTGGAGGTCCAAGCGCTGGAATACACCGCGCTCGAACTGCGACGCGTGACTAGCTTCGGCCAAATTGGCTAAGAAAGCGTTCAAGGTTTCGTCCCTCCACGTAGCATAAATACGAGGATGCCCCATATACCGGATCCTCAGAGGGCTGCATGCCCTTGTTTCCCCCTCCCCCCTGCCCCCCTCCCCCCTCTCCCTCTCTATCTCTCATGGCCTGTTGCTGCCGATGATGATTCCTCCATTCCTTTCTCGTTCTCTCCATCTCCCTCTAACTCTCCCCCTCCCGCTCTTTGCCCCCCCCCCCCCCCCCCCCCCCGCCCTCCCCCCCTCCCCCTCCCTCCCTCTCTCTCTCTCTCTCTCTCTCTCTCTCTCTCTCATCTCTCTCTCTCTCTCTCTCTCTCTCTCTCTCTCTCTCTCTCTCTCTCTCTCTCTCTCTCTCTCTCTCTCTCTCTCTCTCTCTCTCCTCTCTCTCTCTCTCTCCCTCTCTCTCTCTCTCTCTCTCCTCTCTCTCTCTCTCTCTCTCTCTCGCTACTCCTGCCCACGAGTCGGCGATGCATCGCTGACACGTCGGCAACGGCATCGACGACGGCATCAATGACGCATCGATGACGCATCGCCGATGCATCGGCCCAGACGTCCGATGCATCGGCGCACGCATTGATGACGCATCGCCGATGCATCGATGACGCATCGCCGATGCATTGCCATGAGCAACGCGGGGTAGTGGAGGGCGCAGGCTGATCGAGAGGGAGGGGTGGGGTGAGAAAGGCAGGGAGTGATGCCCTCCTCCCGCTCCTCATTCCCCATCTTCCCCCTGCTGCCCTTCCTGCTCGATCCTCGCGTGCCCCCCCCCCCCCCCCCCCCCCCCTACTCCGCCGAATCGTCCTTCTCCTCCCCCCCCCTCCCCGCCCCCCTCCTCCGCGCCCCCCCCCCCCCCCTCTTTCCTCCGCCGCCCCCCCCCCCCCCCCCCCCCATCGCTCCCCCATCTCCTCGTATCCCCCCCCCCCCCCCCCCGCGCCTGACCGCCGGGCACCTCGCGTCGACGCCCTCGATGCGAGGCCGCGCCCGCCGCTTGCTCTCTACCCCCCCTCCCCCTGTCGCCGACGCATCGCCCGATGCATCGCCTGGCGCATCGCCCGACGCGCTGCCGATGCATTGCCAGAAACTCGGCGCGACGGGAAGGGGTCAGAGAAATAGACGAGGGCAGGGGGAGGAGGAAGGATGACGGAGGAGGGGGGGAGGGGGAATGGCGGGAGGGGGGAAGGGGGGGAGGGGGAAGAGGGCAGACAGAGAGAGGAAGACCGGAGGGAATAAACACCCGACCCCGAGTCCTTCGATTCATGTGCCAGAATCCGCCGCCATGCCTCTCGGCACGGAGCCGCGCGGTGTCCTCAGGTCCTCTGCAAAATCCCCTGAGCCACGGCCCTTTGCCCAGAGGCCGAAATGAAGCCCCGAGAAGCCTCAGCGCGGCCCCCGCGAGGCCTCAAAGCTGCCTCCTAGAGGCCTCCGAGAGGCCAGCCAAGAAATCCCAACACGCATATATACAAGATGCCTC